CAAATTTTCCGAATGTACACAGGGCACTGAGGAAGGAAGCAGGCACTTAATAAGATTATAAAACACACAGCCCCTAGTCCAGGACAAAGTATTCTTTAATAGACCAATTGGCTGAAAAACATTGTGCCAAAACTTGAATTTCTGAAGCAAGGGTGAAAGACTTTCTTGTAGGACTTTCTGTCATGTGCTTAATTTTGGTCTTTGCAGAAATTACCCTTTATTCTTGTCAGTCATTGCCTTTCTGGATTTTAAGTAATTTTTATTATACTTTTTTTTTCTTTATAAACAATCATTTAAAAAAATTCACCTTAATGTTGTCTTTTAAAAAAGGGAAGAATATTAAAAATGCTTGTATAAGAGAATCACTCAGATCATTGGAGAAACACATCTACAGCAGAGAGTGATGTAGGTGGTTTAGATGATGATGTAATCAGAGGAAGAATTATATACTGTAAAAAGACATTCAACACATAATTAAATATGTAGTAAAAAATGAGAAATTTAGAAACACGTAATTAAAAATTAGAAATCCTAAAGCTGTTAACTCTTTTATTGTCATTTATTTGAAAAGTGTGCATTTGTCCCAAAGAACTTTGTATGTGTGATCCTTGACTTTTTATTCTTAGTCAACTAAACCCTCAAAGAAAGTTTTTCCATCTTAAATACCAATTTTGAACCTCTAGCAATAAAATTAAAGCAGATTGTCATCACATTGCTCAAGATAGTTTTATAGGAAGTAGTCTGGTGGTGTGGTGCTTTGGTTGTTTTTTTTTTTTTTTTTAAATCCAGAAGTTTGAACACTTTATAAAGAAGGGATACTATACACATACCCATCAGCCTTACCAGCTTTCAGATGAATGATTGTGGAGAACATAGTGAAAAGGGTGATAATTTCAGAGTTTAAAGGGAAGTATTAGTGAGATGGTGGGAGAAGCTACTTAGAGAAAGAAAAACCTTAGTCAACCGAATGAACATTGAAAGAAAGCAAATAATTATTGCTGGAGTATATATACACATATACCCCTACACCCAACAGGAAAAGAATTGTAAAGATACAGAGGAAGGCGAAATGATTTAAAAGGTAGACAAGTCTGAAGTTTCTCTCAACAAAAAGAAGTCCAGAGAGAGACATGTGTAAAATTTATCAACTGTAGTTCAAAAGAGAGAATGATCGTTCCTTTCCTGGTTAAAAGTTTTCTAGGAAATATTTCTGGCGGAAATTAGAGTAAGTACCATACACTCCTACTTTAGATTGCCTTATTAAGTGTACCAAAGTTTCAGTGTTTTGGTCCATCAAATGAGATGGAAACAAGGAGAAATGGATAAAGAGAGGTATTTTGAACCTGTAGGGAACATTTTCTGAATATTCCTATGCAATTACTATGCATCACTTGGAGCAATCCAGGGAAAAACCCTTTCATGAATCATATTGACTTCTGAACCAACGTCAAAAGAGCTCCCACGGAGTATATTTTCATAAGTGGCCGTCCTGTTTGATCTTGAAAATCTTTTATGTGGGCTATTTCAGTTAGAACTCTGTCTGTGGGGTCATCTTTCTCTAAAAAATGAGCTTGGTGTTGGTTTGCAGTTCAGTGGGCGTGTCGGAGAGAGACAAAATGAATAAGCACTCGTATTTATCATTTCCTGCCAAAGCACACATCCCAGAACTCCCGACCCATGGCACGCTGGGCTGTGTACGTGAACCTTGAAGTTTCAGTCACTCTCTGTGCAATTAAGACACCAGGTCTACTTCTGGTTTTCCTCTTGGCTTCATTGCTAGCACAGCTGGGGAAGTGAAAGCGTTTCAACGTAATAGGGAAATGTTTGTTTTCAAATGAACAATGAACAAAAGATTTGCCATTTGTAAAACTGTATCTTTACAAATATTTTGTCTTTCAAGTAAAGCATTGAATTGGTTTCAAGTCAATGCTCAACAGATGTTTTCAAAACATTGTCAGTTGCTGTCAATGACAATTCTGAGCAAACCTGTGGAGGACAGATCTGAATCTTGCCCTGTCTTCCTCCATTCTCACGATCTCCGATATGATTGGGCCCACTGTTACTGACTTAAGTGGTGCCGAATCTGTTGGAATGAAGCTGATAGTGAACTTAATGGTGGCATATGATTTGCCCCCTCCTGAAAGGCTGTGGGGTGGCCTGGGCGCAGACTTCTAATGGACAAGTGTGGATGCTTGTGAGAGGGTGCATGTCACGAGGGACTAATGCTGCTATGGGAGTGTGTGAAGACTCTATGTACTGTCTCCTATTCCTGGGATATAGGGAACTCAGGTGGTGAGATGTATCCCATAATGCATTGCTAACCAGAAGGTCAGCAGTTTGAATCCCACCATTGTTCTGTGGGAGAAAGATGGGCAGTTTCCTCCCATTAAAATGGACAGCCTTGGAAATCCAATGATGAGTATGAGTCAGAAGCCACTCAATGACGTTGGTTGGGTTGGGTTGACCTCCCACTTAAATGGGGAGAACAGGCACTTTCTGGAATACACGTCCTCTGTGGGTTTGAGGACAGTTCCATTAAGTTAGTGGTTTGTAATCTTTTGTATTTGGTCTGCGATTGGCATGATGGATACCATGTGGTTCTTGGATATGGCCGGTATGGTCCAGGAAAAGTCCTAGTACATATCTTGTCTTCTCAGTGAAAGCTGTTAAGAGCGGTTGAGCTGGAACCATGGCTGGCCATCCAGTGGGTTTTCAGGGGCAGTAAACCACCATAGCTCCTCTCAGGGCAGGAGTCAGTTGTAACCCACCTGAGAGAATGCAGTATGGTTTCTTACAATCCCTTAAAATGGCTAGTCCTGGGTAAACATTCGGTAAGTGTTAACTATGGTGATTGATGCAATGAAACAAGACTGTGAGTTGTGTATTTTATTGCTTCATCATTCGTAGGCTTAAGAGAACCACTCTCCCTTGAGGGTCAGAAACCTATCCACAGCTGAGCCACCAGCAGGTTTCTGAGGCTGTAAACTGCATAGGAGGCGATTGCCCATCTGTTTCCTTCAGAGTCTCTGGAGCATACGAACCACCAGAGAGGCACCATTTTTAGGGTAGAGATGCAGCTGCCTATAGATTACACCTCTGGAGGGAGCTCCAAGAGAACCACTGATGTGTAATATCTATTTTTTGTTGCTGTTTGTTTTAGAAGGACTAGTCCTAGGAGAAAGGCATCATACCTGGAAAAGTAGAGTCAGTAAAAAAAAGGAAACCTCGACCCTGGAGGACATTATGGTGAGTGAAATATCTCAATCACAAAAGGGCAAATACTGTATAGTGCCACTGTTGTAAAACGGGACTGATATCAGGGTTGAGGGGAGACCAAGAAAAAGGGAATAAATAATGTATACTGCATTGAAACAGATGAGGGAGAGAACTGTTTAAAAGAGTAATATGATTAGGTATTATTATCATGACAGGAGTCCAGAGTTAAGGCTGCACAGTGGAGTGGACTTGGGGGGAGGGGTTGTATAACAATGAAAGAATTTTTCTTTTACTTTTCAAAGAGAAGAGCGAATTAGGGGGGAGGGGTGGGCAGGGAGAAAAGTGCAACAATGAATGAATGGAAATCCAAAGTCTCTGTAAATGTT